TCTTAGCATCCTTTGTTAGCTTCAGCTCATTCTAAGCTTCAGCTTTCCTGACACCATCCCTGTAAATCCAGGCTATATATATAATCTTCTTTGGTGATTTGCCCTTTTTTTACAATCTATATGACACCTTTTTGATTTCTCAGATTTCCATAAATTTCTTGGGTAGCCACATTGGTTTCTCCTTCTGTCTTGTGTTATTTTCCTTGTTACCACTGTCTGCAACAGTGCTTTTAGTATTTTGTTTTTTAGAGCTCACAACTACCTTAGGCTCTTTCTTCTGCCATGAAATCCTACTTATAATTGCTCTAAGTTCATTAAAATATGCTTGCATGAAATCCAAAGTATATTTGACTATACTCTGGTATAATATAGTTAACTTATGTTCAAGTTCTTCAGCTTTCTTTTAGACTTTGAAGTCCAAGGTGATATAGCTGTAGCTGCATAATGGTATCATTCGTCCCTACATGGATAAATAGTAAGGGATATCTGTTAGGGCTCAGGTACTGTCTGGAAGACTTACCTGAAAAGGAGCACAAGAATGCATTGCTGGTAATCAAGCATTTATCATCATTGGACAGTATGAGGGCTAGAGATAAGAGTAAATCCAAGTCTCCTTTTCTGAGAGGGAGGTGCAACAAAAGAATATGAGGTGTTTAAGATTCAACCATGCTTAAACCCTGAACTACCATTCCTGATTGCTCAGTAATTGTCAGCTATTTAATATGAACTCATATGGAAAGTAGTTCAGATCCAGGGGCTTTAATCTGAAAAAGAAAAGTGTTTGGGAAGAATGGGTAATTCTGGAAATGAAACATTGAAAGTTTACAGACAGTTCTTACAAAAAGGAAAAATGGGAGATATCTGAAAAAAAAAAAAAACAGGGTAGAAAAAGATCCTGTACAGGAAATAGAGGGAAAGGTTATAAACAAGAATATAAAGCAGTTGCCAGAAAGTGTAGGGGTTGTGTCAGAAAGACTAAAACACTGAATGAGGCTTACAAGAAATGCCCAAAATAACAAAAAACATTTTTCCAGCTACATCAGAAATAAAAAGCACATGGCTATAAGTCTGTTGCAAGGAGAAAGGAGTGAATTGGTAATGGGTAATGACAAGGCAGAATATTTTAACTCATATTTTACCTCTGTCTTCTCTCAGAAGGGAAATGAAGCCCTAGGTGGTTGTCATTGTGCCACTAGTGGAAGGAGGAAATTCAGTTCACAATAGACAAGGAGAGGGTAAAATAACACTTAACTAATTTAAGTGAATTGAAGTCTCCAGAGCCAGATGAATTTCATCTTAGGGTACTAAAGGAACTAGGAGAGATGGTCACAGAACTGCTAACTATAATCTTTGAGAATTTCTGCAGAACTAGTGAGATCCCAGAAGACCAAAGGAGAGTAAATGTTCCTATGCTCAAAAAAAGAAAGACCCTGGAAATTACAGATTTAACTTGATGTATATACAAGGTGAGACCCTTGAGCAGACTGTGAAGCACTTGTGAGCATTTGGATAGGAATGCAACAGTTAGCAAGAGCTGGCAAAGGCTTGTCACAAACAAGTCATGCCAGTCTACCTTTATCTCCTTTATAGACATTATTATTAACAGATAAGGGGAATATTGTGGAAATAGTGTACTTTGTCCATGCAAAATATTCAATCAAGCCTCTCTCAATACCTTCATAAATAAAATGGTAAAATGTGGGTTTGATGATACAACTCTTAGTGGATTCATAATTGGCTGAAGGACCCAGAGAGTACTCATAAATGGCTCTCCATCAGCTTGGAGACTATTATCAAGTGGAATGCTCTGTCCTAGGCCCTGTGCTATTCAACATTTTTATTAATAACCACGATGAAGGGGTTGAAAGGATGGTTATCATTTTTTTAGATAAAATTAGCAGGAGTGGCTAATACCCTGGAAGCGAAAGGGAAGATTCAGAAAGATCTAGGGAGGTTTGAATGCGAATAATGAAATTTAACAGGAAGAAATGTAGAGTTCTGCATTTGGGGGAAAAAGGCATAAGTATAGGATGGATGGGGGAGACTGGCATGACTGTAATATATGTAGAAAGGATCTGCGTGTTCTAGTTGAGCATGAACTGAAAGTGTGATGTAGATATTTAAAAAGGGAACTGTTATTTTGGAATGGATTAGCAGAAACACAGAGTCCAGATCATGGGAAGTATGTACTGTATGTATGTATGTATGTATGTATTTATTTATTTATTTATTTTCAGACTTGTATGCCGCCCATCTCCCCCAA